GTCGTCGGCCAGTTTCCGATTACGGTCGATGCTGGTTACTGTTCCTCCGTTTCATTGGGTTCCGCTCGATTTTTGTTCGGCTTATCGGACCCGTCGGGATTACCAACGTTTACGTATCGCGGACCGTAATCGCGGCATACCGGAACCGCGGTATGTGGGTCACTGTCATGTGTCGACGGGCGTCCGGCCGGCGTGGCGTCGCGGATCGACGACCGGCTCGGCCTACGGAATTGCCGAGAGCTCGATGAATCCGCGAGAATCCGAAAGAAGTCGACGACACGGCGATCTGGAAGGAACTGGCTGGGCCCCGCGACGAAACGGTGCACCGTCGATTCCTGCCGACTCGGCTCGGGGCTCCAGCTCCTTCCTCCTCCTGCTGTTGCCGTCGCCGATCTGTGATCATCGTCGACGTCATCGTGCACGATCATCGCGACTGTGGCGGTGGCCGCCGTCGCAATTGTATGACGTCATCGCCGGATGCTGTCATCGTGCTCGCGGCGAGATGAGATCTCGACGCACGCGAGTCGTTCCAAAGAATTTGGACCAGCTTCCGTTAGATATAACGCATCGTGTACATACATGTATCTTTCCCCACGCAAAGCTTTTTCTTTTTTGACACTAGCAAATTAATATGAAGAACGTATAATAAAATAATTGTTATCGGTATGATTTAATGTAGAACATTTGATTAGATTACTGTTCTATTATAATCATCTATATATGTAATTAAATGAAGAAAGCAACTTTGAGATTTTGTTGCGAGCTTTTCCTGTCTACAAAGTCCAATCTTCAACAAGAAATAGTTAATTTTGATAAATGAAATAATAATTGTTATTCGTAAAATATTAAATATAATAAAAAGTGATAAATCTATGTTCCATATAATCGTGTAATAAAACTTATAAAACAAATAGATTTGCTAATTTCAAGTATTACATTTACATTTTTAAATTAATAAATGTAATAATTTCTAATCATAATAATAAATTTAATACAGCCGAAGTAATCTGAGATCTGAGACACGTACAATCGCAATTCGGTACGACCATCTGGAGGTGGATTTCCTGACGCTGGGTCATCGCATTCTTCAGTCGTCACAGATGGAAAAAGAGGAAGAGGATGAGATCGACGTACCGCGACCTCCTCAAGGTAAACCCAGGTGCCGTTTTTTAATACGAGCTCACTTTTGTTATTTGCGTTGTAATTCATGTTGATGTCAATTAAGAGCAACGAAACGCTGCTCTTTAAGGGCCGTCGTCGCTGCTCGTCGAACACAGTCAACCATCTCCATTGCAAAATTTTACTAATTAACAATTAATTTTTAGTAATCCTCGACAGAAAAAAAAATAGATGAGAGGAAAGTTTATTTTATCTTAGAGTTATATGTTAAAATAAATTACAAAGTTGCTTTAAAGGCCGTCGAAAGTTTGATCTTTTTACTTGATACTTTTCTTCATTGTTAAAAATTAATCTAGGCTGCTTATGATAGAAGTTTAATCTACCTTTCGTTTATTTATCAGAGCGTCCAGTATCCGTGAAATCTTTTTTTGCGATGTTTGGACTTTCGGAAATTCTTTTCCAAAGGATTAAACTCGCACGTGCCGCTGCGTCAATGCCCCGCTGTTGAACGGGGACTCAGACGTGAATGAACGGCCAACTCGCATTTTGCGCGGCGGAATGTTCGCGAGGCGCCGATGATACGCGGCATGGCCGTAATTCATGTGTTAGCTAAGCGAACTACGAGCAGGGATCTTGCAAAATTATTTATAGATATCTAAAATTCAATTACTTGGATTACAATTAAATTAACAATTTAATGATCACATTTGTAATTGGATTTATTCTGAGAAAATTCTGAAGGATCACTCTCGCTTGAAATGTAATATTGGTCAGTTTTTAATACTGAAAATTACCCAACAAATAAGCTGACGTTATTTATTGTCATTTTGATATTAAAAGACGTTAACGTTAAAATAAGGACAAATAAAATCAGCTTTCTAAGGAACATAAACAAGTCAAGAGAAAGCCAAAATGACTTTATTTTGACGTTATGAAAGTCATTTTGGCTGAAAATGATGATTTTTTGTTATATTTAACTGTTTATCAACGTTAAGAGTTAAAATAAAAATTTTGATTTTTTTGTTCACTTTTGTGTATTTTTTAGGTTGTTTGCTGGGCAGTAATTAATTACTTATTTTAAGTATTAAAAGTAATGCTGTACAATATTTTTAGTACTCCACATAAGTAATTGATTACTGTTTTTTTAGTAATAAAATAGCCAGTATTAAATTTCTGTTTATGAAATCAGTCGTTCCTCGCGTGGAAATTAATCAATATCTTATAATAAAATTTAATCATTTGCTGATTGATCAAAAAAGGACCTCGAAGTTATAATATCTTATAATTTCAAATTTAATAATTTGCTGATTGATTGGAAGACACTTGTATTAGAACTTGGAGGGTTCGGACGAGTTCACGTCCATCGCTGAGTTATACCGACTCGTTACCGGTCTGCCGTATCGGGCCAAGTCGACGTCACGGCGAGCGAAGGTATTCCGGACGTCGCCGTCGCGGGACCGTCGGTTAACCTGGCCCAGAAACCGAGCCGGAACTGCCGGTGGAATCAATGACCTTGGGCGCGCGAGCTCTACTCATGGTCACCGGCCCCGGGAAAGTTTCAGCGTCGAGAGCTTTCAACGACAACTCATTCGTCGCTGATTCTACTCTGTAATAGTTTTATAACTACAGAAAGAACGATTTTGCAAAAGTATCTAAAAATTTACGTAGACGATACAGATCTGAAAATAATTTTGTTGGACCATCAAAATCATTACGTACTACCGTAGTACGTAATACTATATAGTACTACTACGTAGAAATCTCGAGTATGACGAGTAATACTGCGAAAAGTTTTAACATTGTAACAATCAATTTGATTGTATTGCGCGTGATGGTGCATTTATCTGCGCTTATTTTTATTTTTACCTGCTTATTATATTAATTTATTATTATTTTATTAATTGTTATCTGTTATTTTTATTATATCGTATTAAGTTATTTATGAATGTGTTACCTTAATTAATTTTTAATTTTGTTCGTTTATTTTTGGCTGTTGACTCTATCTTGTTTAGAAGTATTATCGAGTTTGTATATTTTTTTTGTTTATTATATTATATCGATTGTATAAGCAGACTTATAGCAGTAGTCTTGCTGGCGCCTCACCTTTTGCTGTTGCAATAAATTAAAATAAATTTGAGCGTTCTACATAATTATTCTAATGGTCCAACAGAAATTATTTTCAAATCTGTAACTAAAATTTTTAAATACTTCAGCAAAACCGTTCTTCCTGTGTAAATACTATATTATAATTAAATATTTACAATTATATATTACTTTACACATTTTTTATTTTGGTAATGCAGTTTTTATTTCTCGTTTTATATTACTTAAAAATAAAGTAATGTATCGTATTGTGTCAAAATTATATATTGTGTGCAATATTAAAATCACAATTAAAAAATAAAAATATTTTAATTATGTTGAAAAGTAAATCTCGGTTGAACTAAAGAAAAATTTATTTGCCGTTGTATCGAAACGGTAGTTTCGTTCAAGAATGAAATTTGGTTCGCGTTTCGCCGAGGGCAAAAATTCAGATCGTGTTACGCATCAAAACGAGATCCGTTTTCCGTGCTAAGTAAAATCGTTAAAGCGAGATTCGGTTCTCGCGTGACGTGAAATGAAATCACGTTGGAATCGCGCGAATACGGTTGACGCATCGTGTCCGGCACGCGAGTGACGTACGTACGTAACTCTCGCATCGCAAGAATGCGAATTTCCATCGTTATCCGCCACAAGATCGCATTTAGAGATCCAGGCCAGTTCCGCCTCCTCCTCATCGAAATATGTCGTCCAGCTCTGTAATTTCTCTCCTCGCGGTGTGAATTCCTCACGAATGCTACTTTCTTAATGCCATCGATTTTAGATGCATAAAAGTCGCCTGATTTTCGAAAAGTGCCATCAAATGATATATAAATAATATAAATCTAGAAAAAAAATATTGCTGAATTGTTCAAAATTCGTTAAGTTATTATGGCCTTCTAATTTAATTTCGTACTGTTATTATTCGATTTGTCGATACTTACTTGTTAACAATAACTGCAGAATTTCATGAATATGTTTAAATATTATTAATTTTTTCTTTTTTGTGGCTTTTGTGAGGACCAAACCGATTGTCGAAACGTTTGTGTTTTTGATTAATTTTATGTGAAAAATATATTCTACTTGCACACCAATAACTGCGTTGACTCTTACTGGCTTTTTTTATTTTCTATGTTAGATTTATTCTCAGAGCTTTTTAATTTTATATTTTTATTTACTACGAGAAGTTTCTTGTCAAATTAGGAGACGTTGTAACAAAAAGAAAAACGATATGTAGATAAAGAAGTAGAGAAAATTGTTTAATTAATTGTGAAGTTTATTAAATATATAATTTATTAATTATTATAAATCACACAAAATTTTCGAGAATTAGTCGTTTAAAATAACGATGTTTTAAATTGATTATTTTCTTATTTTCAAAAATTATTTATTTAATATTAAATCAAATTTATTTTGCGAATAAAACTTTAAATGAAGTTTAATAATAATTCTGAACTAAATATTTAATAAAATTAATTAAAAATTCCTCGAGATTACTCTTAACATTGTGTAAAAATATATGTCATTATGTAAAAATATGCAACATTTAATTTTATGTATTTATAAAGAGATAGTTTTTGCTAAGTATTGCTTGTTATTAAATGTCTCAGAAAAAAATAAAGGTAACGCTCATTAAAATTCCTATTTCATTTCTGGATGAGAACCGCAATAAAAAAGCGATGAAAATAAACGAAAATTATTTGCCATTTAAATTTTAAATGTCTCAAGAATTTTAAATTTGTTTCTTTCATCAATCCACAGATGGCACCATATACAAGATGCTCGTGGATCACGTGGTCGTGTAAATACATTCGTGACACGTGCTCCGATATTTTTACATATTAAATAGCGTACTTTCTGAAGTAATTAAGTCATGACACTTAGAAATTGTTGTGTCTGCAGAAAGCATGATGCACTTTACAAATGTCCGACGTGCAGGGAATTTTAGTAAGTGTAACTGCTTGTATTGATTGTATTCTTTTGAGGTTATGTGCTTTCTGCGCAGATAATTGTTATTTTCATCACTTGACAATTGTCACGTTAATGTTTGACAATACAAGAAAATAATAATAAACTTGTCATCTTTATATAACTTATTGAAAAGATATTTATAACGTAATTATAATAATATTGATATATATAAATATATATAATCTTTCTTTGAATATTTGCTGTAAATTTTATTTATAAACTTAATTGCTCTAATTAATCTGTATAGTTTAGTCAAGTTTCATTTACTGTTTCATTTACTTTTTATTGCAAAGAGCATAAGACTCAATACTGCAAGCCTCCAATATTATCTGAGGCATCCAAGGATCATCAAAGCGTCAATCAAAGGAAATACAATTTTCCAACGGAAGATACGGTGCCCATGGAGAAGTTACAGCAGTTGTGCGACAACAAGGAACTGAAACAGTGCCTCCAATCTTCCCACTTGCGTAATATTATGAAGACAGTTGTGAATAGTCCAAATCCAACCGAGGCGATTGCTTTAGCCATGAAAAAGGAACCTATATTCGTGGAGATGGCTGATGCTTGTCTGAAGATCGTAGAACCACCAGACCATGCTAAGCCATGTTAAACTACTTCTGACAAGTGAGTACTTGTAAGTGTATGTTATTGTTGCACCAAATAAGGCTGTGATATATTAAAGACATAATTTTTAATACAACTTGTAAATATATTTTACAAATTGCATAAAAATCTCAAGACCGAAAAATGCTGTTTCTTTATTTAAATATTTATTAAATATTTAAATACTTCTGTACACAGTAAGAATACATGGAGTATAAAAATTTGTACTAGATGATATTAATGGATATGAAAACAATGTGAAGTTTTTTTTCATACAAATGAATGTGAATAAATCTTAGATGAATAAATAGAGGATTTATATTTTTCTCACAAATGATTTCATGATAGACTATACATACACTAGGTATAATTCTATATTAAGTTATCGGTGCAACTTTTACGTATCCATGTACAAAATGATAAAATAAAATGCAATTTTGTCAAAAATTAAGATTTTTTGCGAAACAATTATCGCATTTAATTTTTTCTTTTTTTTATATTCAGTCAGAGTTTTAAGTGTTGAGAGGAATAGTAATAGTCTTCGAAGTCATTAGGTATCTGTGCACCCTCCAATTCGACTGCGAGAGCATGATACCTTTTTCTAACGTGATGAGCTACCATCTTTGGCTGTCTGTCTCTTGTAAAAATTCCTTTCTTATTGCCGCCCACTCTGGTATACGCTGCAACGTATAAACATTGATGAATATTATTAAAAAATGTTTTAAGTCAGATCTTTCGAAATCATGTTGGTATCTGAATGATTGAAAGTTTCTTTTAATTAATTATTATACAAAGAAGCAGGGAAACAAATGTATGAATTTTATTATAATCCATTAGCATAATTTTCATAATATCAGGATTGAATTGTTAAAAAAAATTAATAAATATAATGATAAATTACTGAAGAAATTTTATTCGATACTCACTTTGTGCAGTGCGGAAATCGGCGAAGTTCCAGATGAATTCGCCGATAAAAAAGCCTTGGCTTCGCAATCGATCGAAAGCTTCGAAGTGTTTGGAAAATAATTCCTTCTGGTACTCCTCACTCCATACGTATTCCGGTAGCTGAAATTAATTTATGTTAAGAATGCGTATAAATAAAAAAATTAAAAAGTTAGTTACAATGTTATAATAGTTTCTTAAACAAAAAATAATTATTATATTTTTATCTTATTTTTCCTTATATTTTTATATCTATTTTTCGTTATAATTATTTATATTTGTAGCTTTTCTTTACGTATTTCTTTTAACATTTTTGTATTATTTTTGAATTTTATTTCTATTTTTTATTTCTATTACATATTTTCATTTTTGTATAGAAAATATATATATTATAATTTATTATAAAAAGAGAACTTTTGTGATTGTAAAATGAGTTTTTTACCTCGTGCAGACCGGGCATAGTATCTGCTCCGTATTCGGACATAAGTACCGGCTTGTTATATTTTCTATGCCAAGCCTCAGCTTCCCCTTGAACTCTATCAGTAATCATGTCCAGTCTACCGGCATTGCTATACCAGGCGTTATAACGATTGAAGCTGATCACGTCGAGAAACTGACCTGCTTTGTCTTCCTAAAATTTACAATATCTATTTATCACATTCTTCATGTTACTAGTGATAAAATTTATTTGTGATAAAATTAATGATAATATTAATTGTGATAAAAATTAAAAATTTTGGGTAGATTAATAATTAGATAATAATAAAAATTGTATTAATATTTAAACTTTCATTTTATTAAAGTATAATTTAAAAATTTTTAATTTAGCCTAAAAAATTTTCGACGTTGAAAATTAGGAAACGTCTTTCTTTTTTCTTTTTTAAGAGAATGTTAAAAGAATGTTTTATGCCTTTTTATTAGAAAGTTTAATCAGATTCAAATTAATATAATTCAAAATGAATAATACTATCCATTTTTTTAATGTTATTATTATTATTTTTTCGTATCCTTATGTATTTGTAATTACTTGCACTCCACGAGCCAGGGCAATAGTAACTGGTCTGGTAGGATCGATTGCTTTTGTGTGATGAGCGATCTGTTTGAAGTACTCTTCGGCCTGGAACAACTGGGTCCTCGGTTCGTTGGCTAAGGACCACATGATTACGGAGGGTCGGTTCTTGTCCCTGCGAATGAGCTCCGACAGTGAATCCTTGTGACGCATGAGTAATAACGGCGAATAATTCTCCGTATCGACGGAAGGACACTCGCTGATTATGAGGAAACCCAATCTTTAAAATAAAATTAAACAAAATGAAATAAAGCAAGTACAAGAAAAGTGAAAGATGAAATGTTTTAGCATACCAGATAATTTTAAAGGAGGAAAATTCTCGGTACCTGTCGGCTATATCAAGGACTTCGTCGCTGTAAGGATAATGGCTGGTCCTATAGGCGTTTGCACCGACCCACTGAAGCAAATCGTGATCTCTGACAGCAGTGACGAGGTCAAAACCACGTCCTCTGATAGCCGAGTCCTCGTGTCTGCCAAAACCACGCATGTACACCGGCCGATCATTCAACAAGAGACTCGTATTAGTCCAGGCGAGTGTTCTGATGCCAATCGGTAATCGATAGACATCTGGTTTGGTGAGATTTACCACTGATAATCTTATCTAAAAAAACGTTTATCGTTTTGGTAAATAAAATTTAAATTTTTTAAACAATTTATAAACAAATTAATATTTCAGTCCGCGTACAATTTTCTATACAGAATGTATCATTTCTCTCTGACTTTCCTTTTTTATGGTCGATTTGAAATAGACTTTGTCTTAAACGAGATATTAAGATACTTGTAAGTTTTGAGCAATGATAATACCGTATAATGGAATAATTTTGGCCCAAATTTTGGCAATGTCCAGATAACTCTCATGTCAAAATCTGGACATAAGACGTCTTAAAGAATGTCTTAATTTGAGACGTTTTATGTTTTGATTTTGTTCAAGTATCGTTTTTAGTTTTTTTTTTAATTGGGCCAAAATTATACCATTTTACGGTTATCCCGACTGGGCCAAAGTTACTCTACTTTACGGTACCTCCAAAGTGTATAGGTATCCTGGATTGGGGTTCATGCCTCTAGGCCACCAGAGTCTGGCGATCGGGACCTTCAGGGTACCTGATGTACCATAAACGGGCTCCTTGATGGCCAAAGTGTTCTCGGCGTTGAACAACATGACTCTGCAGACAGGTATTTCCCCTTCGTTCATCCCACCCGCCTCTATGGTATACTTGACAATTCCCATATCGCCGATCAGGCTTGTCCTTACTGTGATATCCTTAACGTAGACACGCGGCGTGGTATACAACAAAACGGACCTTCGTAAAGTGTTCCAATAAAATTTATTAATATCAGGAGCAATTATGTCATAAATATAATTAATATCATACATTCTGACTTAATGAACACAGGATCTCAAATATAAAAAATTGGTACTCTTATGCAGAATAATAAATTATCAAAAATGTTATTTAAATCTAATTCATCTAAAAATTAAAATAAATAAAACATTTTGCTAAAAATATGTAATTATAACATATGTTATAAGAGTGTTTTTCTATAAATATGTACTAACATTATGTTATAAAAGTGTTTTTCTATAAATAAACTCTTTGTATTTTTCTTCATTCTTGTATCAACTATGACTGAATAAAGAAAAATGACTATCGTTCGAATCACCGGAATTGCTGTATAATTATCTCAAATTATTGTACGTGATGAAAATAATCAAATTTGTGTCCATCTCTATTTTTCTATGTTATAGAAATTTTGTCGTAAAAGAGCAAAAATCTCATGACCTCGATTGTTGGGTAAACTATTGAATGTTCTTTTTAGTTTTTCTACAAAGCCCTTGATAGAGATCTATTTGTGACAAGTGAAATTCGCGTATCGCTTCAGAGAGCTTGAAAGGTCCTTCGTAATAATGTAACTGTGAAACGGAACAATGCTATTACACCTGTCATGTATTTTCTCTTTGTCAAATAATTGTATTGAATTTGTTATATTTACAACATATTGAGTTTATTTGCTCTCGAAAATTGGAGATTCAATTTGAAATCGAAACAATTTCTTTTAATACGTCCTTTTAATTTGTTCACGTTTGAGACTATTTAAAAAAATAAGTAAATCGAAAGAAATAAGATTATCATTTATTTATATAAATATAAAAAAATGTAATTAATATAATTTTTTAATTAATTAATTAAAATTAAAGTTTTAATGTAATTAAAATGTTAATTAAAGATGTATGTCAGAATTTCGAAGATAACACCATTGCTATAATATTTTGCTAAGATACTCTTTAATGTATTTTGTTCCTATATGTAAAATTTTAAGTCGATTTACCGTACCGTTTTCAAGAAAATTATTATAAAATATGCTTGTCCTTATATAAGAGAAATCAGTGCATACAATGGCTGTTTTTCTTCACAATATCTCTTATAATAACAAACTTGTTCAGAAATCATCCTATAATTTAATAACAATTATTTAATTATTTTGAAATTTATCGAATTCAGATGGTCATTTGACTAGATAAGTGCTATAATACATCTTTAAACGAGACAGAAATGATGTTAATGTTTTAAAAATATTTCTCCTATATGCTTGCCATTTACAAGTGTATTAAGCACAAGTCAAGATTATTTTTAAAAATAAAGAGTATTGAATATAAAATGATTAATAATTAAATAATCTTTGTTTGTTTGAACTATTTTGTTTTAATTAATTAAATTTTTACCTGTGTATACCGGCATAGTTGAAAAAATCGAAACTGTAGGTCTGCAAGTATTTGGTACCATTGTCGGTATTCACCTGTATGACCTTACCCTGGGGCACGCTATTCTGCCCCAGAGTGTTATCCACAGCGACAAGAATATGGTTCATGCCACCGTAGATCACAAATGACGAGATCTCCGCTTCGAAGGGCAGATGACCCATTTCATGATTGGTCACCAAAGCATTGTTTACCCACTACACAAAAATGTACGACATGTGCAGCTTACAATTTTTACAATTACTTGAACTTTCGGTGCGTTTTGAACTTAAAGATTAATATTTCTCTCCAAAATTATCGTACGTCTTTTTGAACACAAATTAATATATTTTTCATTTATAATAGAAGAATTATTATAATTGGAATTTTGTTCATTTTCTTTCTGTTGTCTATTTTTGATTTTATATTTTTTAGATATTCTTGAATTATAATTTTCGATAAGTCATATTTTAGGAAAGTTCCAAAAGATCGCTTTGGAATTGAAAAACTCAGAATGGTAGATGCTTACTACTTGTGCGAGGTAATGGACGGAGCCGAATCTGACGAAGACGCGTTCGTCCTTCCAAGAGTAGGGCACGAAGAAGGTCCTGTGGTACCACACGACACCGAGGTGGTCCCTGAGACTACGCGATGTTGTAACGTCATTGTAGGACGAGGGTACTGGCATCTTCATCATTTCTCCGACCTGTAGAGCCAGTCTTGTCTTACGCGAACGGTGACGAGTAATAACAAACGGATGACGTGCAATTACGCGAAATTATAAAATGCAAGTGACTCTTGCAACGTAAATGGTTAGAAATTGGACGTGAACTAACAATAAAGATAATAAAAGCAAGTAAATAAAAGAAAATAAATAATAATAAATGAATAAATGAAAAGATTCGTAAAATATTGAATTGTTCTATAGTTTTTTGTTTAATTTCTGTACGCGCGTTTTTTCTGCAGAAAAAATTTTATAAGCAGGATCTTAAAGAAATTATTTGAATGGATTTATAATATATTTAACATTATACATAGTTTACAAGAGAAAAATGTAAAGAAAGTAATGTCGGTATTAAATACGAAAAAATTTAATATGGATAATCGATTCAGAGTCTTTGCGAAAAATTAACTAGTCAATTGAATATTTCTCTGCCTACTGTTATGTAATTGAAAAATATCTCGTTCATTTCTCTTTCTTTTCTAGGTATTAATTTTTTATTTATCAAGTTACTATCATGTTTTTTTGTTATAAATTTTTTTTTTCACAAATTTGATAATGTGACTTCATGTAATAAAAACTTTAATATTTATTTCATTCATTAATTACACTTGTCATTATTAATTATTATTTTACGTTAAATCTCAATACGATACCCTCGATAAGTCATCAGTGAACCATCCTTCTGAAAAACCCTTTAGTACATCTCCTTCAGACGAAACGCCATAAACGAAATTCCATAATCCGTCAAGTGATTTTACCTGGAAGAAAACATTAAAAATATCTGGTGATCTTTGTTGCATTTACTTTTATTATAAAAATCTTCATAAAACAGATAAATATTCTTATAAAGTTCTTCAAATAAATATTCTTAGTCAATATAAAATTACATCAGTGCACTACAATTACTTTCGGCTTAACAAACAATGTGTATTTATATAAATTTTATATTATTATAGGATAATAAATTCTTTATTAGAATAGAAATATTTAGAATTATTTTTAATAAGCGAGATATAAAATATATAATGTCGTGGATTGCTTTTCCGGAAACTCTTATTTAGATTTGCGATAGAAGTATGAAAACGTAAGCCGATTATTTGAGATTCGAGTGGCATTAAAAGATCAGTGTGTGTCATGTAAGTTTTACCTCTCGGGATTCACTTTCTCTGGGATATAGCAAACCAGGAAGCGGGGTTGGAAATGCCTCCTCATAAGGAAGCGGCGCCTCGATTTTGATTGTCTCGGAGAACTCTAGCGGCGACTCCGGTCCGGATTCACCGGCCATCGCGCTACCGATTAACAAGAAGATCAAGTGCCACATTCCTCTGCGACCTTTCTAAACAAAGAAATTAGCATCCACAATTCGTAATCGAGATCTTAAGATTCCTGTTTTTAATTAAACATACCTTTTGAAATAAAAATGAAAATAAATTCTCAAAAAAATTAACAGAAGACCTTAATTTAGAGATGGAAGTTCAGAACGTGCTTATAAAATGTTATACATAATAATAATGTTAGTGCGCATTTAAAGTTGCGGTCCACTTGACGCTACAAACGCTTCGAAGCGTTTGTAGCGTCAAGTGGACCGCAGTCTAATTCGGGTTACATATACTATAGAATTTAAAAAACAAAAACGCTTATTTAAATAAAATATTGATAAAAACGCAAATATTGATAAAAATATAAAAATATTGATAAAAATATTGATAAAAAGTATATACCTCGATTCTTTTGAAGTAAAATTATGATAATTAAAACATAGAGAACAAATTTAAAGCATAGAGAACAATTTTAAAACATAGAAGATATAATTTTAGAAGTTGTGAAAGTTCAATTTTAATTAATAATAATTAAAAAAGCGTTAAAATTCATAAGATTTATTCGATTGTTTTCAACGTTGTATTCGCGTCACTTTCTAATGAACAAGCAATTGCAAACGTTTCGATAAAGCGGCCTATGACACAAAGGTTCAGAAGGCTATATTTTTTTCACGACTTTATTTAACACGATGAATAATCTGTGCTTATCGTATAACCTTACGCCATGTCACACGCTAGAACTGTCAATTATTGCCCGTTGCCTATTTCTCTGACGGATGGCTGTGACCCCCTTTCTTCTCGGCGAATAGTCATGATTTGTATAAATATCACGCGATTCTCTCCGAAAATACCTTAGAAAATTGCTATCGAACGTTAAGGCGTTTACGACATCCGATTTATATGTTATAAAGATAGTTTGCACCACAACAGGACACAACTACTGGGCATGCACTTACGTTTACGATGCGCCTGAATCGACCAGTCGCGGCTGTTGATTACAGTCGACTGATATATCGCGCGAACTTCTTCGATAAAGAAAATTAGCAAAATTATGAATCTGATTAGGAATTCGTGACAAGGAATTCGTTACTTTTACATCCTCCCACATCGTTAGCGCTTTACGATAATATTTATCTTTCTGATAATACAAATGATCTTCACAGCGGAAAATCCACTATTTTATCACATAAATATGAGATTATAATTTATTAGAATGTTATCACTGCAAATTGCGTATGCAGATAAGACGAAGCGGTTCAATTTATGACTACGTAATTATTGAAAAAATTAATGCAAAATTGCTTGCAACGATTAGGAAAATAACACATTTACTTTCAGATGCGGAATTCTACGAATCAAGATTGAAAATTGCAAATTTAATTTACAATCTGTATATAGATGTATTGTTATTAGTTCCAAGAATAAATCATGTATATATAAATGTCATTTACGATGCGATGTGTCGGAACAATAACAAAGGCTTTAAAGATTATAAATCAAAACTAAATAAATTAAAAATAAGAAAGAAAAGTCGATAAGAGTCAACGCGGATGTGTAATGTTAACAAAATAATAAAATATTTATTATTCTCAGTACATATGTTGAAACCTTGAAACCGCTTGAGTACAGACTCTATTTTTTCATTATATTTTTATTCTTTTCAAGACTCTAAAGCACGTTTAGAGACAATGTAACGCATAATTTTTCTAACAATTATTCTTCTCTCAAGTCTGCTTCGTTGTATAAAGGTTGAGCGCGAGTCATCCTATTTATCTTTTTTCTCTTTTAATTTTATTCGACATCCACAAAGAGAGGAAGACCGGTCTTCTGGCATCCGTTCTTTTGTACGAAAAAATTCCAAGGAAGGCTTGAAATGTGATAATAAAAGCACAGAAAAGAACTGTACGGCCTGCTGCTTCAATTTTTTTTTTAAATAAGTATTTATAGTAAGATCATTAATCGAATAATTTTTATAATCGTTTTTCGAATAATTACGTAGTATAGATCAAGCCCCTTCGCGTCTTATCTGTACACGCGGTGATAATGTTTGTTGTTGTGTGTTGTGTATTTTTGTTCTAACAAATTATTACCTCATATTGGAGATAGCCTGTATCTCTCAGCAGAAATAACATTTTATAAATTTTATTTATAATCTTTTATAATTATTTATTAAGAAATTATTACATCGTAATATATTTTCTATTATAAAAATTTACAAATCTAGAAATATATTTCCCACAAATAATGTATTCTAATTAAATTATTTATACAGAATTATAAATTCTCTCTAGAAATGATTAAACAAGAGAGAGAAAAGATAAAATAAATTCCTTCAACGTTTTTAACGAAACATTAATCTGAAATTTCTCAAGCATTTCAATCTCAGAAATATAATTTAATATTGGTCAGTTTAAGGGGTAATACCTATGTAAAATTTTCAAAAAATCGATTTTTTTTTCCCTTTTAAAATACACTTTAGGGTCTCAAAAATGAAGTGCAAGTGGTTTTATTGCGATATATAATTTTTTTCGAAAGTTATAGGCTCCTAAACATTCAATTGTTAACTTAAAAGCATTGACATTCAAAACTTTAAACGCGTTTTTCTCAAAACAGTACTTTTCAAATTGGCTCTAGCAGTAGAACTCAAATAATTTTTAACCTATTTACTTCAAATTTTAACAAGTATTTAACAAATTACATTTTCTTAAGAAATACGTAGAATTTTTTTATAAGTTACAAATTTTTTTAGTTACAGCTGATTTTATTCGACTATTTTTTGACGAAAATGGAAAAGTACAAACTTTTTGTTTGTACTTCCGCCATTTTATCAAAAATCAATATTTTCAAAAACGGCTACATATTTCTGTTGATATTTGAGTAAAGAAAATAAAAATATTTGCTTTTTTGTTCTAAATAAAAAATTACGACATTTGTGCTGCTAGCCGCGGAATACCATGCTATTTCGACTGTCTCCATCACACTGCTGTAGATTCGCCATTTTGATAAATAAAATTCTGAAAAAATTATTTTTTGTACTTTTTTATGTGCTTAATAAAGTTATAAAACTCATTTTTTAATAACACGATTCATTAAACAAAAAAAATTCTCAAACGTAGACTTTATTTACAGCCGATTACATAGATGTTACCCCTTAATAATGGGAATTATTTTGAATATTGAGAGCACTGAACAATATAATGCTTCTAATACTCAAAATAAGTAATTAATCACTACTTTCCAGTATTAAATTTTTATAAGAACTTAATCCAAATACTGCAATATTTAGGTGCATAAACGTTATTGATAACATTTTTTATCAATAATAAAAATTTTGACAAGAACTTTCGGGAATTTCAGTTTTTACATCTTTTCAGTAGGAAGATTTTCGGTGATCAGTTTTGCATGACCTTTCGACGAAAGCTAACTGTCGGGCAATGAGCCGGTCGCACCCCACACACATACATGCACACAAACACACTCCGCGGGGTCTCGTTCGCAGCAATATCGGCTTCCTGGCACGGTGCCCTCCTACGAGAGCAGACTTCCCTTCCCAAAGCATCAAATCGTTTCCTCGTGTCGTGCGTATACAGAGATACCACGGCACTGGTGTCCCTAATTCCTCGAATAGTCACTATTGTTCCAGGTCTGAACTTACACCCGATAATATTTGGCCAGAATTGCAATTTCGTTACCTGTTTCAAAAATCTATTTCTCGAAACAAGAAATTTCTCTCCTATAAAATTTATTTTAAACATTTTATTTGTAGCAAATCACACACACATTAATTAAAAAATGTTACAAGAGCGTCAAATAGATCAGTTCTGACGAAGAAGGGAAATTAAAATTAATCATTATTAGTTAACGTTAAAGTATAGTTAACAAGGAAGTTAGAAAATTTCTGTGGTAACAATTTCGAATAATAAAAATGTCACATAAATGAAATAAATATCATATTTGAAAATAAATCTTGTTACAGGCAGTTCAAATGTAAATCTGCTGCTGATTGTTTCAATTGTCTATTGTTGGCTATCGATAAAGTTTCTAAATGCGACCTCGTTCATTCACGATTTCTCTCTATTTGTGCGAGCATAGATAATTCGCAGACCCAATTTCGTGCAAAGATAATTGATCCGCGAAAATCGCGAAGCTCTAAAATAATCCCGTAGGCATTCTCCCGTATACGCATTTTCGTAACACCCGCGGCGTGTGATTTGAATTTACATTATTAACACCGATGTATTCATATCGAGCGTAGCGAAGTGTAAGAGACGCGATTACGAGAGATGATAATGGCACAGAGTAATGATATAACGATGCTAATATTCTATCGTTACAGAACGGACCAGATTACACCTCGTGTGATTCTCTTAGAATTTTCTAAGTATCGCAAAAAATTAAAATTGCGAAACTAAAACGAATAGTACGTAAATTCAAATCGTGTAAAATATTTTAGCTTCGTTTTACTATATTTTATAGAATCGTGGAAAATATTGTAAGATGATTACAGACACAACGGTCTAATCGACAGATGTACCGATCGAGTTTCCGTGTTTGAGACTCGCAGGAAATTGCATCGGCATGTGGAAAATGAAGTATTGTCCGGTCGCCGGAATCGTGACTTTTTGGTTGAAATTTCAAAACGGATTGCCGACAAATCATCGAGAATTTATTGTTTCCTCGCGTCGGAGAGATAAATTTTGAAATTGCAAAAACGGGATGTCGACAAACACAGATCCGCTATTAATATATTCACGAACATGTATTGTTTAGAGACGCGTCGACATTTAAATTACAATTTGAAATTAATCAAAATTATTTTCGAATGTTTTGTTGTTACATTTTGAAATATACCACTTGATAACGAAGAGATACAAGATCGATATGATCTTGATGTAAAAATCCGTTGACGTTTATCGATGTTCTACTAATTAGGCAAGTGATCAGCATTACATTTTATTAATTATTACAAATCACACATTATTAGAGATAAATACAATTGCTGCGAAAGTAAACAACTGCTAATCTTTTTGACAAGATATTAAAAATGTAATTATTAGATATCGCATAAATTCGCGCGCTGAGTAAATAATTCAATTTTTCATTAGTAAACTTCTATTTATTTTAAATCTATAAATCCGTAAATCTTGTATGTTGTCGAGCAACAAACCTTGCAGCGATCACCACGTTCTATCGTGAGTCTGGTCACAGTGTCTGAAGAGAAGTTGCCGAAAAGTGGAGTGGCTATCAGTCTTTCTAAGAAATTTTACTTATATGTATATTCTAGACGTAAAAAGAAATTCTTCTGTTTCTTCTTTGGCGAATATTGCTTCTTGTTTTCTTTTTCTCTTCTTAAATCACAGCTCTTCACGCTTCCTTCTTCTTATATACCACTTGGCTTGTATCTTTGTTTATCTTTTCCTCTTTCTTTCCGCACTAACGTTTTGTTTTGTATTAACTCGATTCTGACATTCAGCTTTGCACGCCAAACCGAAAATCTTTCTTGTACCAAAGCCAATAAGTTCCACGCAGCGCAATTCTTTTTTCCCACATTTATTGTAACTATAACTATATTGTTCTCACGACATCGAAACGTCTAATATAGCTAGAATTATGCAATATTAATTTAGTTAATATAAAGTTATAGAAACGGACGGAGACAGTTGTCGCTAACTCGAAATCGATAGTCTCGCGGATGTACTCGCACCAGTCGTCATCGATCATCGATTATGCGTCAAATTTTCTCTTTCCAACCGGATCATTGCTGGAGGCACCGAGTGTTTAAATCCGCGCGTTAACCCGGAGACTGGGCACCGCCGATGTGCAACACTCGAGCCTGTGCCTCGGACTCGCCGAGCGTGACTACTCCGCTCCGCTCGATGCCGAGCAGAGCAGAGGCCCGCAGGAAGCCGACCCGAAAATCTCGCGCTCCTCTCCTCACTTCCTCGTGCTCTCCTGTTTTCGTTCTTGCCGTCGGCATATTGTAAGATAAGATTACAAAGATTAAAGACGTAAAATACTATTTTTAAAAAAAGGGAAAATATACGAAGGAAATTATAATAAATTATTACCGAGATTGCGAGAATTCTTGGGTGCTGTGTGGTAATCAAGATAGGTCTAGTACGTTCCTAGAGATCAATATGTCCAAAATGCAGACATGAGCAGAGCTGGGTAAAATGCCTTTCGAATTCCATTTAAAATACTAATTGTAAAATACTTTTAAAAAATGTATTTAAAATGCAAAATGCAAAATAGGTTTTTCGAATCCATTTTATAATAAATGTAAAATGGATAAATAGGTATTTTAAATGGTTTTCGAATGCAAAAATGGTTTTTCTTGCCATAGCGGAAAAAAATTTTTACGAAAAAGTACAGAACAACTATATAGATTGAGATAAGATCTTAGAAATTCTTAATTTTTCGTAGATATTCGTAGTGAGACATAAAGTGAGATTTGTTTGTCTCAAAAATCCCTAGTTTTTCGTAAATATTCGTATGTAAGACGTAAAATAGCATTGTTTGTGGGCGGAGGATTGTTTGGTTTTTCAAACAAATAATACTACTTTACGTCCCACTACAAATATCTACGAAAAACTAAGAATTTCTAAGATCTTATTTCAATCTATATAGTTTTTCGTAAAAACTTTCCGCCAAGATGGTATAAATTGTATAAAAGTATTTTACGTTTGAAATCCATTTTCAACGTAATTCGAAGCCCTGACTACAATATTATAAATAAAGTATTTCTCACGGGAATATTTTAAATTTTTTAATATTATAATTTGGAAACGGGACCGTTTACTTGAATAAATCAAATTAATATGAAAAGCGCCGGTTACGGTCAAAATTAGATGTTAAGAGTAATATACATTTTTAGAAATGTATATAGTATTTTACATAATGCAGGAACATTCATTTTTTATTAAGAGATATTTAATCAATATTTATGGACTATTTGGAATTAATTTTCTCTTTACAGTTTAATTTGCAGTTTAGTTGAATATCCATAAAATTCTTCGGTTAATCATGGGACTTAATTCTTTTTATACGTCAATGATTCTAGGGAAAATTTGTGAAAACATAGAAAAACCATTTACCTATTTTATGAATGGTTAAATGATAGACAAGATTCCATTTCAAATGTAAAATGAAAATGGTTTTCCAAAAACCATTTAAAATGGAAAGTGTAAAATGCTATTTCCATTTTAAATACATATTTAAAATGGAACTATTTTAAATATTACCCAGCCCTGGACATGAGATATCTTACGAACGTCATTAATGTATTTTAGACATCATTATTATAAAACATCCCAAAGATGTTCTTAAGACTTCTTTAAGATGTCTTATGTCTACATTTTGAATATATTATTTTCTAGATTCCCATGCAGGCAGCATGCATATCTAAAAGACGTCACAGGGACATTATAAAGACGTCTTTTGGGACATACATCTAAAAGATATTTAAAAGACATCATAATTACTCAGACAACATGCATGTCCAAAAAAGAGACATCTTATGTCCGCATTTTGAATATACCTATCGTTTTCTAGATTCTGGATAAAAAGGTTTTCCAGACAAAGCGTATTGTCTGAATTGGCACTTTTACAATGTATTTTAATTTTGTTTTGAATATATATATATCTGTAATTAAAGTCAATTTAATTGCAGACTTATTCATACAAAATTTGTAGAAAATTTTTTTGTTGCAAAGTTTTAGTATCGTTTAACGATAATAATGCTTTAATATGCATTGCAAATCTTACCTCATTTTAAGTAGAACTTTCATTACTTGCGATACATTACAAATGCAATTATCGCGATTTCTCACACGTGCCTTGCATTCTTTTAAATTGTAATTGATACTCTTATTGTTTGCGAAATATTCCCCTATTTGTCTTTACAAAGCTACTGTCAGAATGAGGAATAAGAAAATAAAAAAAAAGGTAGAACAATTAAATAACGCCGTAACTTCAAGGTTATTTTTCATCTCTTGTGTTACCCAGACAAAGTCATTAATTATAATCAGAAGAGAAAGATTTAGCTAATTAAGTTTTAATAAAATTTAATACCTCTGAAACAAATGATAAAAAATTACAAAAATTTTATTAATTAGAAAAAATGTATTTAATAAAACATAATTAGAAATAAAATTTTATGTACTACGAAATTCGACAATACTAGTCTTTTACGATGTAAATTTGACTGCAGTAATTCTTATGTGACTGCGTTTTTGATTCTGTTTTTTCGAAGGAAGAATATTTGTCTTAAGGGACTACAGATGGACGATCTTGGCGATTGCGGAAAGGAGTCGCATACGGAAGGAAGATGGAAGGAAATGGCGAGTGCTCGGGTTAACGACCATCCGATAAGGCGCTGGGGAGTTCGACGGTCGATAGCGTTGTGCATCGTAGCGAAGTGTACGCTCGTATACCTGAGCGCGCATCTTTTTCATACGATAAAAAAATCAAAGGAAAAACGAAGAAAACAGAGTATAGTTTGTATTACCAATCGTAGCCTTAATTGCCTCTTCATATCTGTCTCGATTTATTAATCTGACAAGAGATCGATCTAAATAATTCTTTCTTCTATTTGTCAAATTTTTAATCGGGAATTTAATACTTAATTCAGAATATAATCAATTACACGTAGAGTATAATTACGACACAGTTGGGATTTGTATAAATAAAGGTCAAAATTTATTTATGTACTACATCGCTTAATCCAGTTTGAAAATTCTATTTCAGTGTTGTGTAGAAAAAGAATAAGTTTTATATAGAATAAATCTTTTGATATCTGATATTTTATAAATTCTTTTTTAAAATAAATAATATGCATGCTAATTAATAAGTTTTCGTTATTGATTCTACATGTTTCTAAGCAAATTTTATGGAACCAGAAATTCTGAAATATATACAAATAATTATATTATTTATTGAAAAATCTACTGCATTCTGTACTTTATAACAATTAAATACCGTATTTCTACAATAAATCGCTGTAATTGCTACGTGATATCTAAGCGGATTAATTATATGTACAAATACAAATATTGAATAAATTATCGCTAGCATTCTAATTCAAATATTGAATGTATTATTACTGGCATTCTAATTCTCAAGAGGCTATACTTATTTAATTCCTCATTTGCTTACAAAATTATTTTAATTATTAAATTCATACTTATTAAATTGTTTATTTAAAGAATTTCTTTTATGTAATATAATTGCTTTGTCTCTACATATCACGTAATAAGAATTTAAAACAGTTATTGTTATATTTATTCTTCATTTATTAAAAAACATAAATATTTTTTTAAATTCTATCAAATGCTTTTTATTTAACTAATTATTAAAAAAGAAATATCTTTCGTATTGAAATTTTTACGGAGTTCAAATCCGCGAATTTGAATTATGCGTTTTGATTGGTTACCCAGTTCTTCGTCGACAAATAGGAGAATTTCTTTATCGACGGACTTTTTCGTTCAAATTATATTACTGAGCGACTGGCGGCCGACTGGCAAGCACTTTGACTATCTTAATACCGATAATGTGAGCAATTTTCTAACTCAATGTCTTGTCCACTAGATATAATCGCAACATGATAACGTGCTATACTAATTGTGTGCATTTGTCGTTAGAGTTTCCGCAAAATGTGTAACTTTAGAATTACTAGAAGAGTTTGTTTGTCCAGTTGTCCTACATTATGATGTGATAACATTGTAATTGTATCGTTACAGTCGATTAATTTCTACAATGAGATCAATTTCAATCCGTCTTCGAACTGATAAATAGTAAATAACAGTAATAATTCGGATAAAATTTGCTAGAATACCTCGTTATCAAGTCTTCGTTATTTATCAGGCTGTCTTTAATAAGGTAAACGACAAAACATATACCTATGTCCGGGTACTTATATAAAATTTATTATTGTTAATCCTAAATGCTTCTTTCATTGCATTATTATAATTTAATTATATTTAAGGATTACGATTAAATTACAATATTATATTTGAAAAAGCATTTGAGATGAATAATGATTTAACCAAAGAAAGTTTTGTGTAAATGTCCGAACATAAGTATGTCCAAGCACGCACTGCGACGTTTATTTTAAGCCTGAACTTCTGATTATCAGTCGACAAATTCATTCCATATTCATGTGGCGCGAGATTATTTGAATATCACGATTAGAAATAGAGAGAAAGAGAGAGAAGTTTCCTCTTATTTATAGTCAAATTATAAAAGTATATCCGATAAAATTGACACGTTGAATCAGTAA